TAATTCGGAGTAAACTTTCTTAGATAGTCTTTACCGGTGTGTCGGAAGCACATGCATACTTGCATACACAAAACATACCTACATACACACACAAACACACGTACACACAAACTGTACGAATACTCACAGAACTACTCACAATCATACACAATCATACACGCACACGTCTGAACAGACTGAAATGTAAGGAAGTCTGACATACTTGTTTATGCACACAACACGAGGCCAGCCACGACACGTGAATACTCATTGCGTTGATTGGCTCTCCGGATGACCTACCAACACCGTTACACATCTTATCGCGCCTCACTTTTGGAACGTTTTGCTCGCCCCGTGCGCGTTGTGCCAACCACCACGTTGACACTCCACTATCCAGGTGAGAAGTGCTTGTTCCTTGCCTCGGTCTTGATCACTCCACCTTTTTCGCTCGTCCACTGTCCGTCCCTCCCTCCGTCCGTCCGACCAACCAACCTACCGTCTGTCCGCCAACCCAGCCATCTGATCACCTGCTCACCCCCCGCCCGTTCGCTAACCACCACCATCCCATCCCGTGACAAACACCACACCAAGCTCGTCTTAGGAGCTTATTGTTGTGGTCCCCGGAACTGCAGGCATATGTATCTTACCGGCACATGAGTCAAACCGAGAAGTGCTGAGTTTTCAACATAACCTCATTCGTTTTCGACGAGAGTTCAACTCGGGGTACAAATATAGTTTTGTGCCCATACGAAATTGAATGTGTTTCAGTCATCGACTGTGAGAACTTAAAATTTCTATCCGGGAATAACATTGGTATCGGGAATCTTTGCAATGCCAGAGTCAAAGCAACTTGTCATGCTCAGCCTGTGTTTGTTACTCTTAGCGGCAGCCCTTGCCGAGCCCAAAGTTCGTGTGCAAGTAAATGACAGACGTTCAGGTGTGGCCTATTTTGTCCCACATGATGCTCCCGATCCAAGCGTTTTGGTGCCATCTCCCAGCAACCATTCGGAACGAGAGGAAGTGAGACAGTTGCTCATGGAAGACGTGATCAATGTACCAGAAGATGTGGAACTGACAAAAGAAATGTGAGTCACACTGTCTGTCGATATTCTATTCGTTGCCAGTTTTAGTCAAGACATGATGTGGCTTAGCTTTGATCTCACACGAGTCAGAACTTGTGTGCTGGTGTTCCAAATCAGACAGCTAGGTTAAGAATTTGTAAATATTCATTCGAATTGTATTGTGTATCAATTCAGCAGCGTGCTTCACAGTTCTACACTGCCACTATCTGACGCATGAACTCGGTAACTCAATGAGCACAACCAAACTTGCAGTACATGGCAACTGTTTTCTCCTTTCCTGAAACTGGACTAGTGAAAGCTAGATGGGGTCTGCTTTTGTTTTTCCGGCAGTGAAAATCAAGACCTTTTGTTATCCATTATGAATATCGTTTCTTAGAAGAAGGTTGAATTCGTTGTGACAATGTCAGAGTGAAGTATTGGGTGCGGAAAACTGTAATTGGCCATGATATAAATGCTTCACCAATAATGCGTCAAGTTTGCCTCGAAAGGGACTTCCGATGGATCGTTTTGTCCCGAACGTGCATATTATTAGTAGCCCGTAATTTCTTTTAGCTGTGAGGCAGCGTATCGATTGAAGAACATCAAACAGACACTTATTGAGGATTACTTACATAGAATACTTCATTTTCAGAGAGACACCACTGAAGAGGAAAAACGAAAACAAAGAAAAACGATTATTCGTTTAACGGTTAAAAGTGTATATATATAAGCCACTGTGTCTGTCCTACAGGGCAATACAAAGCGTGAGTCGGTGAGAAAGGTGAACAATTTGTGTTCGGACTCTTCCATGTAGGTCTCATCAGAATACCCACTGCGTACGCTTTCGACCACCACTGAGAGTTAGACGGACTGGCAAGATCGACTAGGTTGAAACAGTTATCGAACGCTCCTAAACATTTTGGGTGCACGTTTTCTTTTCCCTCCGTATGACGAAATTAAAGCTAGTAACCAAATTAAATCATCCACTACTTGTATCAAATGTACAGGTTCGGGATTGTTCCAACGGGATGAGAACCTTGGAGACTCATGGTGTGACGAGGAAGATTAGATGGTCGGGAGAATTGGGCATGGATGCGCCTTGCTGTGCAGTTCGTGTGTGTGGTTGTTTGTGGACAAAATAGAAACAATTTGATCAGCTTAGAAACTGGTTTTTGAAATTTCTGTTAACTCATCTGTTTTGGACGAATTTAATTCCCATCTGATTACCTCTCAAACGCTTCATTTTAAGCGGCCTGGTTCTGTTTCATGGGAAATTCACCCAAATAATTGAATGGGATAGAATAACATTTACACACGTATAGGTGAAACCTACCAAAACTTTAGGCCTATGAAGAGTAGTTTTTGTGTCAAAAAGCCAAATTAATCAGAACTATGCATTTCTCACACAATCTCCATTGTTGCTCCAAGTGGAGTGGAGTAAGCCCTTCACATTGATGAGCGTTTCAGTCTACTCCAATTTGAGCAGGCTCTCTGAGGTAGGTCACGATACGCAGTATGGAAGGGCTGGTTAACTTCATAGAGAGAACTAAGAATTTTGCTAGCGTTTATAAGTTCTTGATCCAGCTG